ATGCCCCCAGTTGTATGGCATCTCTAACGAGCAATAAATAGGCACCRCGGACAGTCGGGACATGCCACAGGCTGGAAGTTTCCATCCAAAGCACTTAGTGACTATCTGTGAATAATGAACACATTCATGGGACACAGCATGGGTTGTGCAGCGTCCTTGAAAGGGGAAAAGTGCTCTTCCAGTATCACTGGTGGGGAAGTGATTCAGCTGGATTGGGTTTAGAAAGATAGTACACTGGAAAGAAAAACAATTTTCTCTGTTTCCCCGTCTTCGGGGATCCCTTAAAATTTATTGCAAATTCAGAAAGGAATCCACAAAGTGTTGCTGCACATAAGTGCTATTTGACTCACTTTTGAGGGGCTTTAGGGTTTTTACCTGCAAGAAAAAGTTTCCCACTGCCGTGTGCTTGTTCTCTGCGTGTTCCCTGAAGCAGAGGCCACCCAAAATGGGGTATCCCGGGGAGATGCGCATGGGGACCTCCATCCACGGGGGGCAGGGGTGTGGTAGGGACACCCCTCTGGAAAGTCCCCTCTGCTTGTCCCTGCGAGCCTCCGCGGGGCATAACCCGCTACCCCTGGGTCCTGCTCCGCACTGGCCACTCTTTAAGGACAGCAGAGCCGGAGCAGGAGCCTGGCGAGCTCTGTAGGGACGAGAGATGCCCGGGAAGGGAGAGTTTGGGTGATTCCCCGGGAAGGTGAGCGGGCCCCCCCTCCCGACAGAAGGAGCAGAGGGAGGGGAAGGTGTCACACAGACATTTAGAGGGGGTGCAGTCATCTTCTGGCTGATCTTTATTCTATGGGGGTTGTTTCGTTTGCTGTTTGCTTGTTTTGTTATTCGCTTTTRAGGTATCCAAACCATCCCACCACATCTGCTCCTCTGAAGCTTTGGACCCAAAAGCAATACTGCTTTCTAGGAACTGGTTTTGTGGTTTTGGTGGCTCACGACTGTTTACTGAAGATGCTAATGCAATCTTTATTTGCCATATTTTTATAAAGAGAATCTGGCTGAAATATTATTTTTATTTGTAAGTGTACACATTCATATATATATATATATATATATATATATATGTATATATTTATAATTGCTAAGTATACACGAACACACGCGTATATACATATATATACATATTTAGATGTACACATGAATCACAGGCAGATACTGACCAAGAATTCCCTTACCCCCAGCGATGCCGATCCCTTAGGAAGGTGTCAGGACCTGAGCGATCTGTTCAGCACCGCTTTTTTTTGACACGGAGAAGGGAGGACGATGCCCTTCCCAAAGCCACCTCTGCCTGCAGTCCTGAGGGCCAATAGCCCCGCAAAGATGCCGGCTCCGAATGATTGCGGCCCTTAAAAGCAAAGAGGAGCAGAGGTTAGGGGTGCGAGCGATAAAGCCTGTCTCTCATTTCACTTCTCTTTTACGACACATCGAGGCAGTGCTGGGGAAGGGAGAGCGAGGGGAGACATCAAACACCGGCAGGATAATTGCATTCACATTGCAGGAAACCGTTCCACTCCATGCGGGAGCGCCGGACAGCGGCGGGAGTGGCCGGTCCGCCARCACCGCGACTCATGGGAGGCTCTTGTCACACTCACACACACTTTTTCAGCCCCAAATACAGCCCTCCGTCTGCTGATTCCCTGCGGATCCCGACCCCACRTCCCCACTTCTCCCTGCCCTCCACGTGGCAGGCTGTCTAGCAAAGGCTGACACAGGCTCAGGAGCCGTCGGAGGTGGTGACGGCGGGATATCCCACGGGCATTCCACGCCATATGGCCGGCTGGCATCCCACGCCAGTGATGGGCACGAACTGGGAGCCAGGACTGTTCAGCCAAGAGACCCACCGGGCAGCGGGGCCAGGGGCGCAGGCCACGGCTGTCCCGAAACTCGCGGAGCTGCGCTGAGAGTCCCCAAAGCCTCGAAGAAAAATACGTACCTGGGAAAGAAACATAGCCAAAGATGGAAAAAAAAATACGGGGCCCCACCACCTGTAGGCTAAACCGCGTCTCAAAACCCCTGTCGAAAACACGGGGTTTTTCTCTCTCCTGACCCACGRGAGGCATCGGGACCTGTTCAGGGAAAGTTTCTTCATACCCCTGCCTGCAAAAAAATAAGATTTGCCTGCAAAGAGATGGACGTGGGAGAGAATGCAGTGGGGGAAGGAGAGGTTTCGCTTCCCCGCGGCCACGGCGAGCCCCGCAGGAGCCGGCCCGGGAGCTGCGGCACCGGCGCGGGGKTAGCCCGGGTGAWGGCAAAGCCCAAGAGAGATCCCCCSGTCCCCGCTACCTCCGGGCAAGTGACTCCGAAAGGCGCTAGGGCAGGGGCCAATAATGCATTACTAACATTTAATTACGAAAATATCGTCACTGGGTGCTTTTTCTGCTTCCTATACGGAACGCTGATGGATGGCTGCAGGAGACACACGCCCTTTTTTTCCTCATCATCATAATAAGCACCGAGGATATCAAGCACGAAATGTTAGTAATGTCACTATAACAGTGCAAAAAGTGTGTAAACATAACTATGAGTTTACAAAAATGCTCAATGAACACGGACATGAATGTACCTGTGTTATAATTGCACGTACAGAATTATACTCATCGTGGGTTTGTGTTTCAGGAATGTATCCGAGTATGAATGATTTTTGGAAACACAGTTCAGCTTTTTTGCCTACGAATCAGTTATGTGTTACACTAAAAATGCAGAGTGGGACAACCAAGAGGAAATCCACTCTTGGTGATTTGTTAAACTATTTGTAAGCAGAAAGCAAACAATATTATATAAGCTGCTTGATCATCCTCTAGGGACACTTTATAAAATATGTGTAGGGAACACCATCTTATCTTTTATAGTTATGCATATTGTACATATGATGTGTAGAAGCCATCACGGGCCACATTTTTCTCYTTTTTCCAGAAAGCAAACACATATTTTCTGAGTGTGCCAGTCAAATRGAGCTGATGGTTTATGGATGCGTAAGAGCTATCGGCCAAATTTATATTTCCTGTACAGGAACACGCAGAATGCGCAGAGCATGAAAGTCATATTTGTTAACCTCACTTCTGTGCAACAAGTGACAAATGYTCTGTCGCCCGGCTTATACTGCCCTAGATCTCTGCCCTGGTAAGACTGAAAGTCGAATGTGCCCCCATACAGCCCTGCTTTTCCAGAGTTCCATTTCAGAGCTCCGCTGCTTTTGCATTTTTCTGGAGCCGCTGGAAGTGGAATTATTCCCTTATCTTTTTTTTTTTTTTTTTTTTTTTTTAATTGTTCTTTCAAAAATAGGCCCTGATCTCAAAGGTGCCCACTGCTACTGAGAAAGGGAGAGAGATGGCTCCGTGGAGGGGAGGCCGGCTCCTGTCCCGGCTGAGCCCCGGCCCTGCCGGTCACTCCCGCCGGGCAGCGACCGGTGCCCCCGTTCCACAGCGGGAGGGGGAGGCGGGGCTTGGGGAAAGGGTTCTTGTCCAGGAGTAYCGCAAAGGGGAAAAAGGAGGGGTCCTCCGGCACAGAAGAAGAGCAGAGGAGGAGGAGGAGACGATTGACCTGCAGATGAGCATCGCAGAGGCATCTGTGTACTCACCCAATCCTCCGTGGGTCTCCGACGCGCGCTCTGGACTTCTCGCACTCGCGCTTCTACTAAACTGGCTCGCCTGGTCCCAAAGGAGAAAGCAGAGGGCAACCCTCCTGCTCTGGCCCCTCGCAGCGAGGGGGACTTTTATAGGGTTGCTGGAGTCCGTGTCTCAAGGCGGGTTGACTCCAAAGGGTCGGAAAAAGGGGGCAGAGGGAGGACAACTTTACAGRTTCCCGTGGAATGGGATTACAGTAAGAATAATGATAAAAAAGTCGGGCTGAAGAGGGGTAACGCCGGGAACCACGGGCTGGGTCCAGGGGGCAGAGCATGGCTGCTGCCTCCTCGCCCRGGGTGGCGGGAGTGCCGGTATCCCGGTCTGCCCCTGCTCCGATGAGCGGGGCTGGCTGTCTTTTTAAATAAACTATACAGACACCGTATGTATCTACAAAAATATACCTGTATATGTATATGCACATATAAAAAGGCAAACAAAACGGACCTCGGGATACCCCTTAGAGGGGAATCCTCCTCCCTTGCCTATCAGGCATCCTCCCCTCCACCGGCAGGACACTCACTGCCTGCTCACGGGGGCAGTCGTCCCTCCGCCACTCTCCCAAACTGACTCAAACGCCTCAGCCAGGGTCTCCAGGCTGAAGACAACCTCACCGCTGCGCCGACAGCCCGCGGAAGCAGCGGCCGGGCCCGCGGGGCCGTAGCCGGCTCTCCGGGCGGCGGAGGGCGCATCTCCTCCGTCCATCGCCGCCGCCGCCACATGAAAGCGCTCGGCGGGGGGTGGGCGGGGGATGATTATTATTAATGATATTAATGATATTAATGATATTAATATAAGCACGATGTCCGCGTCGCCGATTGGCTGCCGGGGCTGCCCGCTGAGCCCGCTGCAGCCAATGGGAAGGCCGGGACGTGGAGAGGCCGAGCCCCCTCGGTTGCGGCCCGTGTGCCGGGGCCGCCGCCGCCGCTCCCCCCGCACCGGGATTTGCTCCCTAATTGACCTAAATAAGGAGCTCGTGAACGGCGGCCCCGGGGCGGCGCGCACRCACACGGACACGGAGACACACACGGAGAGACACGGACACACACACGGACACACGGAGACACACGGACACAGACACACACACACAGACACACGCACACGCCCGGCAGCGCCCGGCGCCCGCCGCTTCCCCCGCGCAGATCCCATTCCGAGCGGCGCTCCGCCCACCGCAGGATCCCCCGCTCCTGCCCGGCGTTTAACTCGCATGACATTTTTATTTCGTTATTAGCGTTTTCGCGCAGAATCTGGCGCCTCCGATGGGTTGTCGGGCTGCCTTTTTTTTTCCCTCCTCCCCCTCCCCCCTCCCCTCCTAGCTTGCAGGAAATGATGGCAAACCGCGATCTGAAATGATTACTCCGGAAAAAAACGCTTTTATACCAGGAGAGCATCCACGGGGCTAGGCAGAGGCGAGAGGCGGCCGCGGGGCAGCGGGCAGCCGAGGAGCCAGCCGCCGGCGGAGCCGGGACCCCTTCCCGCAGTTCTCTCCGACGATGCCGGACGAAGCCACGGAAAACGCCGGCTCCACCTCCGCCCGCGTCTCGTCCTTCTTCATCGAGGACCTGCTGGGCACCGAGGGCACGGCGGGCGGCGGGGCTCGGCGGGCGGCGGCGGCGGCTCGCCCGGCC